CCCCTCTAGCAGAGAGGTTCTTGCTGGGAGGAGGTGGGGAGTGTTTAACAAAATCACGACAAATAAGGAGTTAAGTGTGTGTGAATGTGGTGTCCATGCTAAACGTGGATGTACCGAGTGAGGGTGCTGTCCTTCCCTCCCTAGGGGAAGGGGACTGTTCCTGTCTGCAGAAGGTGCTCCCAGATGAAGGGAGAAAAGCACCTCAGAAGTAGAAGGTGTTTTTAATACCCTGGAATGTTGCGGTGTTGCTGGTAGTCTGTTACGTTTGTCAGTAAATATTTACTGGGGCTATAGGAACCGGACTGATCTGAAGTGGGAATTAAAACTGAAATACTGTGTATTCATATTAATTCCACAAACATTAGCAAGATAGCAATAGTGAATGACTTAATAGTCACTACAAGAATGAAGTGATTCATGTTGGTACATGAACAGAATTGATTTTGTGTACGGGACACATTTTAAAAACGAAGGAAAAAAAAAGCACAAATTTTTTTCTTGTCTGCTGTGGGTCTTCAGATGCTGTAAGGTTTTTACCTTAATGAGGTTGGCAGGAATTTAAAAAGTAGCAATAGCCACTTTCCAGTGTGGAGAAGGTGATGCAGAGCAGCAGTAGCAGATGGTGCAGTCAGAGTGCTCCCTGGTGATCGTCTGAGGCCAGTACCTGAGAGGTGGAGGGAGCCTGGGGCCACTGCTGGCAGCAGGCAGGTGAGAGCATTTACCAGATACAGGCTCCCAGGGGAAAGGAGTCCCTGCTTCTCCTTTCACCCCGTGCTTGGCTCCAGCCCCTTTATGGGCTGTGGCCCCATTTGTACGTGTCAGGGATACTGAGGTCAAAGTTCTCTCAAAAGAAGCTGTTAACAGAGCAAGTATGGACAGGTGGTTCAACACTCATTTGTTTCACAGATCATGTTAAAAGCTCTTGTTTCCTTCCACAAAGTCATGCTGGCAGAAAATTCTCTGTTAGGAACTTCATTCTATCTTTGCTTAAAATGAACTTACTTTGGTGAAGATTCATTACCCATTAGTCTACAATATGCTTCTTGAGCCCATAGGAAAAGCACAAGGAAAATTGCTATCCTTGTCCATGCAAAGCACTTTATAAGTAACACATGATCTCTGGGGTTTTTTTTATTGGGGTTTGTTTGTTTGTAGTTTTGTTTTTCTTTTTCTGTTTCTCGGGGTTTTTTTTTATTTTTTTTCCCTGAGGAATGTGCAAGTTGTTTGGCTGCTGTTTAGAGAAGTCCTTTCAGGATGCATTTCTACTGGTTTTCTCGTTTGTTTGTTTCCCTCCAGATAGCTGTAGTAATGTGTGTTTGTCTGTAAGAGTTCCCAGGTAATGCTCATACAAAACTTTGAAAGAAATGTAGTTTGTAAATAATTGGGATTATTTTTGGTTTTATCTTTGATCCTTCAAGAGTTTTTCTGGATGTCTTGCATGCCATCAGAATCAGTCTTAAAGATGCCCTTTAGATATTTAGTGAATGGGGAATCAAGAATAGATGAGAAACGAGTGCTCTCTGTAGCAGTGGGATGAAGGAAGTAGAGTGAAATGACCAACACGTTCATGCCTGTTGCCCTAAATTCCTTAAGCTCCTTCATGGTGTCCCAGCCACAGGCACATGCCATAGTATGGAAATGTGAGTACATCCTTCATGTGCACATGTTGGGACAAACACCTAGAGAGTCATTCTGCTTCTTTTAGCTCTGTAGTATTTTGTGTGTCATAATCATTTGCAAAAATACCAGTGTCCAGTTCCAGCTATTCATGTCTTTATCAACCAGGCACAGACCTTCTCCTCAGCCTTTCCTTTTCCATACAGGTGACAGAGGCCTGTTACCTGTTACACCTTCCTGCTCAGAATGTGATTGTTTCCCTTGCATATTTGCCAGAACTGCAACATTGTGGTGGAGCTCAAACCAAATGGCAGGGATATAGAGGCCAGGTTACTTTGAAAGTAATTGATGTGTCAGTAAGCCCTACATAGCCCCAGATACAATTAGCCCAGTCATTTCTTTTTTTTTTTTCTAAACTAATGCAGGTTATTAGATGAATCCACTTCTACTTTTTATGCTTACCCAAAATTATCTTTTCTTGTACTTGACTGCTCTAGCAGCTGATGATGATGCAGAATGTTTGAGAACAAATACTGTCATTTTACCATGGTGTCTTAGCATCACTTGGATTAGTATGTGCTCCTTAGAGGCAGAATTTGGCCTTTGTGACATAAAATGAATGAAATTCTGATTGTTGATAAATACCATGTCTTTCCATAAATGCCCAAACTGGGGGGAAAGTACCCTGACGATTACACATAAATAGTTTTTCTTCTGTGTTTGCCTGGTGGTGTAAATGCATTCAACATTTTAGAGAAGGCTGAGGGAAGCCAGATCCCCAGACACCTCACAAACAAGTATGGATTGAAGCTTTGATATCTGCAGAGACTAAGTTTAGGGAAGAAGCATGTAGACACTTAACACTTCTGCAACCTCTAGAATTCATTCCCCTCTTGACTGTGAGTGCAGCATTTGTAGCACAAACTCTTCATAGTACTGTAGACATGTCCTCTGTTGGTAAAATGTATCACCAGTAGCACAGTGGGACAGGCAAAGCCTCTAGGTACAGTCAAGTTAAAAAGCAGCTGCGTGAGTGGACTCTTAGGGCATCACTTTGAAGGTGCTGAGTGTTTTGGTTTTCTCTGATGCATTTTACATAGAAGCTTATGAAACAAACTTTGTTTAATGCAGCCTTGTTACTGTGCATTTGCACTTGGTGTTTGGTTTGGCATGCATTTGAAAGACCTGTCTTCACTGCTTCATTACTTCATACCAACTTCATACCCACCATATGAAGTTTAGCCAGGGCAAGTATTGCATTCTGCACCTGGGGTGGGTAACCCTGGTTGTGTGTATAGGCCAGGGGATGAGAGGCTGCAGAGCACAAAGGGACCTGGGGGTCCTGGTTGATGGCAAGCTGAACACAAGCCAGCAGTGCCCTGGCAGCCAGGAGGGCCAGCCCTGTCCTGGGGGCACAGGCACCACGTGGCCAGCAGGGCAAGGGAGGGATTGTCCTGCTCTGCTCTGGGCTGGGGCAGCCTCACCTCGAGTGCTGGGGCAGTTCTGGGTGCCACAGTGTAAGAAAGACTATTACTATTAGACTATTATTAATGAACTATTAGAGAGTGTCCAGAGGAGGGTCATGAGGATGGTGGAGGGGAAGCTGTATGAGGAGCAACTGAGGTCTCTTGGTGTGCTCAGCATGGAGGAGACCGAGGGGAAACTCACTGCAGTTACAACTCCCTCGTGAGGGGAAGAGGAGGGGCAGGCACTGATCTCTTTCCTGTGGTGACCAATGACAGCACCCAAGGGAATGGCCTGAAGTTGCATCAAGGGATGTTTAGGTTGGATATCAGGAAAAGGTTCTTCATCCAGGGGCTGGCTAGGCACTGGAATGGCTGCCCAGGGCAGTGGGCACAGCACCAAGCCTGACAGAGTTCAAGAAGCATTTGGACAATGCTCTGAGGCACATGGGGTGATTCTTGGGGTGTCCTGTGCAGGGCCAGGAGTTGGACTTGGATGGCCCTTGTGGGTCCCTTCCAACTCAGCCTATTCTATGATGCTGTCATTCTTATCTAATAAATTATCAGAAGAGCAGAGCCAGATTGTTAAAATTAAAAAGTTTGCATTTAAGTTTCAAGGATGCTGACACAAAAGCTACTAAGTCAGCACCATGACAGCAGTAACTATGAACCTGTGGAAGGAGGAAGCTTTAAAAGCTGCAGAATACAGACTACACCAAGAGTGAATTCAGATGCAAACTAACTTCTCTCTTTTGTTCAGAAAAGAGAGCTACCTAGACCCTCTGTTCAATGGTTTACATAGGGATCCCCCAAAACAGTTTTTGTAGTTTGCCAAATGATCATGTGCCTTTGCAACCTTAAAAAGTACAACAGAATGTAAACCAGGTGCTTTGTAACTAGAGCAGTGTCTTTGGTTTACATCTGCTGCAGTGGTTTTGTATATAGCTATCCCTGTATGTAGGTAGTTTGGAGTTGGTCAACTCCTGTAAAGGAGCAGGGAGGGCAGAGAGCATTCCCCTAAATACCTGTTAGTATTTCAAAGCTAAGAATTGAAGGATACCAAATTTAGTTACAGTAAACCTGCTGCTTGAAATCTGCTCTATCAACAGGTAATGAACTTCATTTAACTTAAAAGCAAGTAAGCCTTCCTTCCCTTCCAAAGACACAGAGATCTTGTTAAGGAAAGCTCCAAAGAGGCCCAAAGCTACTCTCTTAAAGCATCTTGGAATGAGATGGTAGGTGGAGAATGAGGGCTAGATGAGGAGAAACTGGTGGCTAGCATTCATGTAATCAAGGTTCATATGTATCAAACCATACAATTAGTTCCTTGTCCCAGAAAATGCAGTAAGTTTTGTTTCTGGAATGTCACCAGGTTTCCTCACTGCTTCCCTGGGCCTCTTGCAGTTGCTGTTCAGTGATCACATCCCATTATTGCACATGAACTGTGGGAGATGGTAGGTGTCTTGTCAGCTGAGGGACAACCAGTAGGTGTGAATTTGATTTGTTCAAATTTCAAACTGGTTACATAGACTTCTGGCAGTACCTACATGTCAGTGTCATATTTAATCTACTTGTCCATGAAGGACAAAATAATGGGTTTGGATATTAATGCTTTTCCAGATCTTTTCCTTTTCTTCCTTGGGGCAGGACTTTTGGCATAATTGTAACTTACAAAGTTATGTATAAGTGCACAGTTCATATGAGATATCAGACCAATTTTAATTTGGGTTTGTTCCTTTTAGAAAACAAAGAGTAAAAATGTTCTACTTATGTTCCAGGAACTATCTGGAATCCTACCTACCCCAAAATCTGCACTAAAAGTACATGTGATAGCTATTTTGTCTCTCTTTTTTTTTTTCTTTTTTTTTGGGGGGGTGGGGGGGGTGTGGGTTTTTTGGTTTTTCTTTTTTGTTTGTTTAGGAACTTCTAAACTACCTAGTATTTGCTTCATAGCATCCAGCAGCAGTGTGTTCAGCTCACCCAGCCTCCTCAAGAGCCAACAGTGGCCTGTCCAGTCATTTTGTCTAGTTTGCCATGTTTGCAGCAGCTGTACTTTAAAATAAGCCTAGTGTGATATTTACTTTTGAGCAAGTAAACCACAAAAGTAACTTTGTTTTCTTTTTTTGTTGTTTATTTGGGTTTGGAAGATGGTTTTGTTTTGATAAGTGTCATTCTGTGTTGCATTTGTGTATTCACCCTTGTTGAAGAGAAAATCCATCTGTGTGTTTGAGAGTTCAGTGGAATATTAGTAGAAGAAATGAAGCCCATCACCTGGGCATGGATGTTGGATCTAGGGGGGAAAAATGGACCAAACTTGGGTGTTGGGTTATTTGGGGATGGTGGGGGGTTGTGAGGGCATAATTTAAATTAACTCTGTCTAAAATAAAGTGTAAGTGCAATAAATGTGCTTTTTTATTCAAAGCTGTGAACCTTTCGAAAAAGAAAAACCACAAAAAAAGTCAACCAAAAAAAAAGCACATCATTCTTTCATGAGCCTTGTGTCCTACCTGCCTCCCCTTCCTCCCCCTCTCCACACTTCTCAACTGACAGAAACATGACAGTGGCCAACTTGCATGTGTTGGCCACCCAAATTAACATTGCTGTTTGGGGGAAAGTCACAAACGGGGCAAAGTCCTGCCCCCTACTTCTGTTCCACTCTTGAAATCCTCTTGGGCTCAGTGCTGCTCTAGAGCAGGGTCTGTCCCTCTCTGGGATGCAGGAGCCAGCCCATGTGCTCTGTGCTCATCCTGTCTCCAAGTGCAGAGCTCCTCCTGGCCCTCCCTTCTCCAGGTGGAACCCTCCTCCCCCATCCCTGTGGGTGTAGTGAAGGCTCTCCTGGGCTGGGCAGTGACTTGGTTCTCCAGCAATTGCAAAAGGACTCAGCCATCAGCTGCCTGATGGGATCCCCCTTTCCCTGCCCCAACACACACATGCAGGCTGGCCACTGCTGCCTTCTGTGACTCTGCCTTGTTCAGCAGGAGCAGGTGTAGCTGTGTGTAAGCTGTTGTGCATTACTTGCACTGTCTCTCTTTCTTACTTGAGCACAGGCTGCTTTTCCTAGATTAGGAAAGGGGCACAGGTCTCCTGGGCTTCCCAGGGAGCACCATGCATTGAGCAGTGATGGAAGGGGTAGCACTCACTGGTTGGACCCTCTGGGGGAGTAAGAGAGGACTGGCTTGTTTAAAGTTTATAGATACCCAGATCTATATCCTTTAAACTTTATTATTTTTATATATAGTTGAGACAATGGCATTACCTCATAATACAGAGGCTTGTTTATGAGAGGCAAAGTACATAGTAAGGAGAGGAAAGGGAAATTTATATACAGATTTGATTTCTTTTGTTTGTTCCTTAGTGCAATGAAATGTATGTCCCACCACTTTAAACTCTGTGCTAACACATTCCTTTCAGCTGTATTTTTTTTTTTTTTGACCACCAGAGGTTTGCAAGGGGCTTATGACTGCAAAGTAGAAGGTCCAGTCTGGTTACTTAAAAAAAAAAACAACCCATTGTGTTAGTAGATTTCCATAGCTGCTTTTTAAAATCTACAATGGAGTAATTGTTTCAAAACTTGTATTTATTTTTTAATTCATAACAAAATGTTTATTTTTTGGTTTCCTGTTAGATAGGTCATGGCAACTCCCTTTCGTTCCTTCTCAAGTTTCCCCTGTAATTGCCAATACAACTTATTTTTCTTGTTTGTTCCTTCTCCCTTTACTTTTGTTGTCCCTTCATTTGTACTTTGGAGTTTTTCTCATGTAAATTTGTACAATGGGAAATATTGTCCAGTTTGGTTAGAGAGCATGGAGACTTAAAACATATTAAAATTTGATAGCTGAATTCAGATTGAAGAAAACTATTTCAGTGTAAAGTTATTTAAAGAACTCTGTATTATATGAAAGGCAAAAAGTTCTATGTACTTGATGTGAATATGAGAATACTGCTATAATAAAGATTGACTGCATGGAAAAGTCTGAAGGAGACTGTTTATTGTGTCATGCATGACTCCTCTCCACAAAGTTAGAGGGGTGCAACTCAGGTGGTTAAGGGGAGTGAAAAAGTTACTTTAGGATGTAACTCTGGAAATGGAGAAGAAAAAAAATCAAGGGACTCCTGCAGTGTAACCCCCCCTCTCCCTTCATCTTAAACTGGATCACTGCCTCCTTGACTGCTGTGCTGAGCCCTAAGGCATTTTTACCTTTACTATTCTGAACTTTATATACCCAAGGGGAGTTTTACTTCATTCTGGGAAAAGCCTGGCACCAACTGATCTGGGTTCAGTTCTGGGTAAATTCTCCTGCTTCTATGGCAATTTCCCATTCACCTCTTCACTGGTTATTTGGCAGAGCCTTTATTGATAAGACTGTAACCTGCCATGCACTAATGGACCTTATTTCTTGAGGCAAGCACATTCTCTATCAAGCAGGTGTTACAGAAGCTCATGTGTACTCAAGAACTACAACTTTAAAGCTGTCATGGTCATTTCCCAAGAATTTTACTTAAAATAGGAAAAAAATACAGTTCAGCTTCAGCTTTGTTTACAGTTTTATTCACATAAGGACCCAGGAGCCAAAGATTTGGTTCCAGGGGCCTCAATTAGTTCCAGGAACCTGAAAATAACAGAAGAAAAACCTGAGAACCTTTTCGCTCATAATTTTCCCACCATGCAGAGCAGAAGGATGTCCTCAATGCTCCCTTCAGCAGTAGTTGAAGCTTTTGGTTTAGAGCTGTAATGTGTGACACAACAGCTTAAAAAAAGTACTGGATAGAAACAAAAGCCTAAAACGTTTAAGGGGACATCTGGACAGATGTCTCTAGAAACAGAGCATGTCTTCGAAGTCGGATAATGCTGCATCTACACAACAGCATGAGTAAAATAATATAGAACCGGTACCAGGTAAGCTACAACTCCTAACCAAGTCGGTTGTTACAGTGCAGCCTTATATTGCCAAAACGGGGCTCCCTGGCCTCAGGCAGCCGAGACACGTGTGTGAAGGCCATGAGCAGTGCGGACACGGCCTCCTGTACCGCCGAGGCTGGGCGGGTTTCCCCTGGGCAGTGCTGGGAGCAGGCTCCCTGCAGCAGGACCAGCCGGGCACGGTGCCCGGGGCCGCGCTCAGGGGAGAGAGGCGACGGGAGCCGTACCGGTGCGCTGCTATTCCTCATCGTCCGGAGGGATGCCGAGCTCCTCGTCCGTCCAGGCCGAAGCGTCGGGATACGGGAAGTGTCCCTGGGAGAGAGGCCCGTCAGAGGTGTCCTACCTGCCCGGCCCGCGCCCCCCGCCCCCGGCCGCCGCGCCGGCCTCACCAGCACCATGTCCGAGTTGTGCCAGAACTGCCAGAGGATCCAGAACCACATGAAGCCGCTGAGCGCCTCGCCTCGGATCACCTGCGCCCGCGTCAGCTCCGGGAACTGCCGGTACCGCGGCGGGATGTGCACCCCGCCGCCCGCGCTGCAACACAGCACGGCCCCGCCTCACTCCGGGCCCCGCCGGCCCCGGCCCGCCCGCCGGCCCCGGCCCGCCCGCCTGCCCCGCTGCCCGGCCCGCCCCGCTCACCGCCGCCGCCCGGGCACGGCGGCCCCGGTCCGCAGCAGCCGCCCCGCCGCTCGGCCCAGCGCCGCCACCACCATGGCCGTGCCCAATGTCACCCGCACCGCCCAGCAACGGCCCCGGCGATTGGCGCGGCCGCCGCCTTCCGGGGCGGAGACAGCCCGCGGCACCGAGGTATCCCGGGAAACGGAGTTAGCGCGGGGCTCCGAGGTATCCCGGGAAAGGGAGATAGCCCGCGGCACCGAGGTATCCCGGGAAACGGAGAGCCCGGGGCTCGGAGGTATCCCGGGAAAGGGAGCTGGCCCGGGGCACGGAAGGGTCCTGGCGCACGGGGACAGCAGCACTGCCCCCGCACATCTGCCCTCACTCCCCTCAGCACTTGGGAGCGCCGGGGCAGCACCACGGGCGGGTGCCTCGTGAGTTCTCCCGAAAGTTGGCGTCGCCCACGGGGGCCGCAGAGCGGGGCGAGCTCCCCAGCCCAGCCGCTGCTTTTTGGAGGGGCGGGGCGAGAAGACGGCTCCAGCTGGTGGTGTTTAAGGAAAGGGCGAAAGGGGCAGCGCTTCCCGCTGTCCGAGCCGGGGTAGCCCGGCAGTCCAGCCCAAGCAGTCCGGTAGCGGAGCAGTGGGGCGCGGGCGGTGTCCCGGCGGGGCCGGCATGGGGGGCTCGCCCTCAGGAGCGGGATGCGGGGCTCGCCCTCAGGGCCGGGATGCGGGGCTCATCCTCGGGGCCGGGATGCGGGCCTCGCCCTCGAGGCCTGGCTGTCCCCGAGGAAGCAGCTGGTGCGGAGCCTCTTCCCGCTCTCTGGGCCGGCAACCGGAGCGGGAACGAAGGGGCGACGCCTCGGCATAGAAATAGCCAGTACAGAATTTCCACCTGAACATCTGAGAGAGTTTCGTTCTTCTCTCCCGTTTTCCCTCTCCCACAGGTGTTACAGTGGTGTGCCTGCCTGTTTATTGCTCGCTCAGCAGTGTTCCTGGAGCTGCAGCCTGGTTTCAGTCCCGGCACTTTGAGGAGGATGGAAAACCCAGCCTGCCGGTGGGTGGATCTGTTCACCGGTATATGCCAGAGCAAGGGTTGGAGGAATTCTGCCAACTTCTTGTGGAAAACCAGTTGCATCCAGTAATGCATATCGGTGTGCCTTCTGGGACACTGGGGTGATCACAAAAGAAGCAAGCAAAAAATCATGGAGAAAGTACCCAGGCTGTCAGGAGGGTCCTTTCAAGGAATCCAACACTCCCCTACTCCTCCTGACAAGGTATGATGCCAATGTAAGATTAATCCACACTTGTAGTTCCTCCTGAATCTTTATTGGATAACATTCCACAATGAACTGGAGAAGAGTTTCTGTGACCCTCCTGGAGGTATTTTAAATAAGCAATAATACCTTCTCAATTTGTTAACACCCCAAACACCTAATATCCTCAGCTGAAGCAGCAGTGGATAGCCTTGTAGTTAAGGAATTTTAATTTCCCTGGTCACCTGAGCCATTTTCAGCAGCAGTTTACAGGGAATCGCAGCAAACTTTTCAACCAGTTTTTACTTACTTATGGTTTTTACTTACTTGTGCAACATGTTGCAACCCTACAATGGGCTCCATACCGAGTTTATGTTTTCCCATAAAAGCTGAATGCTTTGATACAAAGCATTCATAGTTTTATTGCCAGCTCTGCCTTCCAACTGCCTTGTATTTTGTCTTTCTGCCTTCTTGCAGTCCCTGGCATTCTGTTCCCTATGTCCTTGTTCTCAAGTATCCCTCATTTCCCATCTTGCTCAGGCTGGATATCTCCACTGCTGGCTTTGATCTGCAGAGGCAAATTTGTCCCCCTAGACTGAGCCCCCACTTTCTTCACTCTTCCTTGACTTCAGGTCCTTTCATTGACCTTTCAGCTTTGCTTGCCAGGGGAGCTTGGAAGCTGTGTAAGCAGCAGCAGCAGCACACACGTGGCCCCTGGCTGCCCACCCCTGCTACACACCCAGCAGCTGGATAGAAACCAGGTGCAAGGAGGGGGTTATCATATAGTTCTTAAGGGTTTTTTAATGTTCCTCCTCTCCAAACTTTATTTCTCAAAATCAAAACCATTTCTGATGAATTTACAGATAAGCAGCATAGTACCACAAGACATGGTGGAAGAATTATGAGGAGAAGTAATAAACTGAAAGTAAATTTCAACTTTGTAGACAATATTCCTGTTTAAGGATTTAAATGTTCAAAAATCATGCTCATTTTCTGTTTCCATCTCCTCCTTCCCCCTTCCAGGTAAGCTCCACATCCATCTCACATGTCCAGTGCTGCCACACAGCTAATAAAGATTCCTGTAGCTCTCTGCTGTCAAGATGTCCAGTAACACAGTAAGCTCATAATCTATAGGTGGGTCACTGGAAAAGCAGAGAAGGAAAAGCTGGGAAGCAAAGACAGTTATTGCAGGGTGGGGGTTTTGTCCCATGTTGATTTAGTTTGTTTGCACTGCAGTAAGTTGCAGAGTATCTGTTGCTGAGCTTTCCATTACTTCTTGTATTTTCATTTTCCACAGCTGTCATGTTTGTGCCTGGAACCCAGGTCCCTTTTGCATGCCCTTGATACCCTCAGCCAAGAGGAATTTCATTGGTTCTTCCCTGGAGGCTTCCCGTGTGCTGAGGGGGGCTCGTGTGCTGGCAAGGAGAGAAACTGATGGCTATTACTACCTGGCCCACATTGTCCAGGAGCTGAAGGTAACTCTTGATTGGGAACATGGCTGGAAGAGCATGTATGGGTTTTGGTTTTTTTCTCTGTTCTTCCCATACTCACCAGTCCCAAGCCCTTGCTGTGGGGTGGCCCTGCAGTGTTGCAGTGCACTTCCTAGCCACTGCTGCCTCCCCACACCCTGTTTCCATCTGTTACCTGGTGCTGTCTGGCTGTTTGCTGTGAGGAGTCCTGCAAGTAAGAACAGCCTAGAGACCAGTCTGTTTTTGTAGATATAATGAGGTTTTATTCAGAGACAGACTAAACAGGTCCCTTATCCCTATTGTCTACTTTTGCCCAGCCTAGTAGCAGAGTTAGTTAGCTAAACAGCAACTAGTAATCCAAAATGTTTGTCTCCAGGGTCCACTTCCTCTTTACCAAACTGAGAGCTTTCCTCATTCTTTTCCATCTGTGTTTCTGGGAATTGTGAGATGATTTTGGATGCCAGACAGAAAATCCCCCCTGCAGGTTTTCTTTTAAAATCCAGTTCATTTTGCAGGTTAGTTAAATAAATTTTGGTGCTAGTATAGGTGAGGATGTGTGTGAGCTTCAGTGTGGGGTAGAAGAGATTGGGGTAGAACAGATTGGGACAGCTGTAGGCACAAGTGACATCAGCTGGAGTAGGAGCTGACAGAGTATTATTTGTGTAAGTGCACTCAGAGATCTGTAGAGAAGGCTGAGATTCTGGCAATAGGTCTTGCCCTCACT